GCTGTAGAATTAGGCTTGAATTGGCGAAGTTAGTATTTTGGCGAATTTTGGTTGATAGGTGAGATTTTGATCCGAGGGTCGGAATGGAATTCCGAGAGTTGCAGTAACTTCGTTAGGTGATTTTGGATGTGTGTGCAAAATTTTAGGTCATTCGGAGGTGTTTTGGTATGGTTTTTGATCGAATGCGTATTTCGAAAGTTTTTAAGAAACTTAGGCTTGAATCCGATGTGATTTGATGGTTTTAGCGTAGTTGATGCGCTTTGACGATTGGAACAAGTTTGAACGAGGTTTTAGGATGTGTTGGTATTTTTGATTGAGGTCCCGAGGGCCTCGGGGTGATTTCGGGTGGCTATCGGAAGGAAATTTGAAGTTGCAATTTGCAGGTTTTTGGCTGCAGCAGGTTTTCCGCATCTGCGGAAAGGAAATCGCAGATGCGGTTGCGCGGAAGCGGAGGCAGGCATCGCAGGTGCGAAAAGGATGAGGTCTAGCAATTTCCGCAGAAGCGGAAATTTATCCGCATAAGCGGGTCCGCATAAGCGGAAGGCTTACCGCAGAAGCGGTTTTGGACATTTTATTGAGGTTCCGCAGAAGCGGGGATTTGGCCGCATAAGCGGTCCCGCATAAGCGGAAGAGGGACCGCAGAAGCGAAAATCGGCCTGGGCAGAAGGATTTTTATTGAATATTTCATCCGTGAGTTTGGGATATTTTCCACCATTGTTAAGCGACCTTGAGAGCTTTTGACGAGAATTAAAGAGATTTTTGACTGGGAATCGATTGGAGGTAAGTCCCTTGGCTTAAATATACGAAATTTTGATAAATTTAACATGGAAATTGGTTGAAATTCATAAAAGGGGGTAAAGCTAGGGCTTGAGAATTGGTAATTTAGAAATGGAATTTGGAGGGTCAAATGGACTCCGATGTTGGTAAAATTGATATATATGGACTCGTGGCGAGACGAGGAATCCGGTGACGTGAATATTGTAATTTTTCGAGAAGTGGGCCCGGGGCTCGGGTTTTGCCAACATCGTGATTTTTGATATTCTTCGAGTCTTTTGGATTGGGTTATGTTCCCTTAGCCTATTGTGACGTATTCCTTGTAGTTTTGATCAGATTCGACGCGCGAGGAGGTCGATTCGAGGGGAAAAGGCATAGCGAGCTAGACTTTTGGCCGGCTAGAGGTGAGTAATGATTTTAAATGATGTCCTGAGGGTTTGAAACCCCGTATTTGCACAACTTGGTGCTATGTTGAGATGAGACATGCGTTCAATGACGAGCGCGGGGTCATTTACTATTGGGGATTGTGACTTGGTCCGTCCCGGTTGTTGATTTTACCGCGTATTTTATATGACTTGTTATTTTTCACTATGACTTGGGCTTATTGCCATACTTGGGGCTTATTGCCAACTGTTTGAACTCCTCGTGAGCTATCATCACTGTTTTTCCTCACTATTTGAAATATTATTTGAACTCAGTCCATTTGAAGTACACTATTTCATGAACTCAGCTATATTTTTACTCAACCTTGAGTTTTTAACTGATATTTAAACTATTATTTGAGCTGAGCATTGTTGTTTTTACTGATGCCCGAGGGGCTATGACTATTTTGGACTGATTGAGGCCGAGGACCATATGTGAGGATATGTGAGGAGGCTTTCAGGCCTCGAGCGATATGTGAGGAGGCTTTCAGGCCTCGAGTGTATTGTGAGAAGGCTTTCAGGCCTCATATTGATATGTTCAGGCTTTCAAGCCATACTATGATAGCGCTTGGGCTGTAGGAGCCCCTCCGGAGTCTGCACACCCACAGTGAGCGCGGGTACTCATGTGATTTGAGAGTGAGCCCGAGGGGCTGATGATGTACTGTGTGATTGATACTGAGCCCGCGGGGCTGATACAGTACTGAGAATTTGATATTGCGCCCGAGGGGCAGGTTTCTGAGCACTTCTTACTGGTTGAGAATATTTGTTTTTAATTGTTTTAAAGAAGAAATTCTTGCTATTTTACTGGTTTTACTACTCAACTGATTTTACTGCTTGAGATAGCATTATTTATGCCTTCATGGGATTTTGTGTTCTCAGTCGTTATTTATTTTTATTACTCACTGGGTCGGAGTACTCACATTACTCCCTGCACCATGTATGCAGATACAGGCATAGCTGAGTTCATTCCTGAGCGCTGATTTCCTTCCAGACCAGGCGGACTAGGAGTGACGAGGTAGCTGTCGACGTCCACAGCCCCGTTTTCTCCCGTATCTTTTGTATTTTCATTATCTTTGGACTTTGTTCCTAGTTCCAGACTTGTAGCATTTTAGTAAACTCTGTAGTAGCTCGTGACTTGTGACACCCCGATTTCGGGCTGAGTCGGGATGGTTTCCCTGTTTTATCACGTTTCATTCCGCACTTATGTTTATATTATCTATGATCTAGACTTATTTATGCTAAGTAACTGTTAAAAGCGGTACTGTTGATCTGTAGGCTGGCCTTGTCTTCACGAGAAGCGCCGTCACGACCGGGTTGGGAATTGGGTCGTGACAAGTTGGTATCAGAGCCAAGGTTACTAGGTCTCACGAGTCATGAGCAGGTTTAGTAGAGTCTCGCGGATTGGTACGGAGACGTCTGTATTTATCCTCGAGAGGCTGCAGAACCTTTAGGAAAAACTCCATATTCTTGAAACTCTTGTCGTGCGACTTTGTTGATCCGAGAACTAAACTTCTGTGTTCTATTCTCTCGCAGATGGAGAGGACCCGCGCTACAGGACGAGACGGACGACCACCAGTACCACCTACTGAGGGCACTAGAGGCCGTGGACGCGGTTGTGGTCGTGGTAGAGGTAGAGCCGCGAGGGCAGCACCTATTACTCCACTAGTTGCCCCGGCTCAGGATGAGGCCCCAGCTGCAGACATTCCAGCAGCACCTGTTCAGGCACCGGCAGTGCCCATTGTGATTACGGGTCTCCAGGAGACCTTGGCTCAGATACTATCAGTTTGCACTGGCCTAACTCAGGTAGTTTCAGCCACTACTGCAGCAGCTACTTCGCAGGCTGGGAGAGGCAGTCAGACCCCCGCTGCTCGCACCCCTGAGCAGGTTGTACAGGGATTGCAGACACCGGGAGCAGCTCCAGCTCAGCCGGTTGCACCAGTTCAGGACTTTGTAGTTCCAGCTATGCCAGACGATGAGCAGCGTCGTCTTGAGAGGTTCAGTAGGCTCCAGCCTCCAGTTTTTAGTGGTGCTCAGGGCGAGGATGCCCAAGGTTTTCTTGACAAGTGTCATCGTATGCTTCGGACGGCAGGGATTTTGGAATCGAGTGGAGTAGCATTCACCGCATTTCAGTTCACCGGGGCTGCCTTCACATGGTGGGAGGCGTATGAGCGGCGTAGGCCGGCAGGTGCAGCGCCTTTGTCATGGCAGGAGTTCTCCACTATCTTTCTGGAGAAGTGGGTACCACAGTCTCTAAGAGAGGAGCTGCTTAGGCAGTTCGAGTGGCTTCGACAGGGAGACATGACTGTGACCCAGTATGAGGCGAGATTTTCTGAGTTGGCTCGTCATGCCTCCTGGATAGTTCCGACCGATAGGGAGAGGATCAAGAGGTTTGTGGATGGACTTAACTATCACCTTCGTGTTCTGATGACTCGAGAGAGAGTTCTGGGTATTTCCTTTGAGGATGTAGTTGATATTGCTCGTGATATTGAGACGGCTCACCGTCATGATAGAGAGGAGAGGGAGGCCAAGAGGCCTCGAGGTTCTGGCAGTTTCAGTGGTGCCCCGTCTAGGGATCAGTTCCACCAGGGCAGAGGTCGTTCTTTCAGGCCTCCTCAGTTGACCCGTCCCGAGTACCGTGGGTCATCTTCAGGTCGGGGTCATCAGGGTTATCAGCAGAGCCAGCCATCTCTTAGTGCTCTTCCAGCTCAGGGTTCATCTCGAACTCCTTCTATTCAGGGTTCATCCAGGCCGAGTGCTGCAGCTAGCCACTCCGACGCGCGGGGTTCCCTTCAGTCCCATTCTCCGGCACCCGGGAGTTGTTATGAGTGCGGAGAGTTTGGGCATATGTAGAGGCAGTGTCCTCGGCTTCGTGGTAGTCAGTCTCAGCAGAGGGATCAACCCTCGTCTTCTGCTCCTGTTTCTTCAGCACCCGCCCAGTCAGCTAGGGGTGGAGGTCAGGCAGCCCGGGGCCGCCCCAGGGGTGGAGGCCGATCAGGCGGTGGCCAGGCTCGATTCTATGCTCTCCCAGACAGGAGGGACGCCATTGCATCAGATGCTGTTATCACAGGTATTATCTCAGTCTGCCACAGGGATGCCTCTGTCTTATTTGATCCCGGTTCTACCTATTTTTATGTGTCCTCATATTTTGCTAATCATCTGGGTACGACCCGAGGGTGTCTTGCTTTACCTGTTCATGTATCTACCCCGGTGGGCGATACTATTATCGTGGACCATGTGTATCGGTCTTGTCTGGTGACTATTGGGGGTCTGGAGACCCGAGTTGATCTGTTGCTGTTGAGCATGGTTGATTTTGATGTTATTCTGGGCATGGACTGGTTATCTCCGTGCCATGCTATTCTGGACTGTCATGCTAAGACAGTCAAGTTGGCTATGCCGGGTGTTCTGAGGATTGAGTGGCGTGGTATGACTGACTATGATCCTAGCAGGGTGATTTCTTTCCTAAAGGCCCAGCGGATGGTTGGGAAAGGTTGTCTATCATATTTGGCTTTCGTGAGGGATGTTGGAGCTGAGACTCCTAGTCTTGATTCTGTTCCTGTTGTGAGGGAGTTCCCTGATGTATTTCCTGCAGACCTGTCGGGCATGCCACCGGACAGGGATATTGATTTCGGTATTGACCTGGTGCCGGGCACTCAGCCCATTTCCATTCCTCCGTATCGTATGGCACCAGCGGAGTTGAATGAATTAAAGGATCAGCTTCAGGAGCTCCTAGATAAGGGGTTCATTCGTCCCAGTGTGTCACCGTGGGGTGCACCGGTCCTATTTGTGAAGAAGAAAGATGGCACAATGAGAATGTGCATTGACTACAGGCAATTGAACAAAGTAACAGTGAAGAACAAGTATCCCCTGCCTCGTATCGATGATTTGTTTGACCAGCTCCAGGGAGCAAGGGTATTCTCCAAGATTGATCTCCGTTCAGGCTATCACCAGCTGAAGATCAGGGATTCAGATATTGTGAAGACTACTTTCAGGACAAGATATGGGCACTATGAGTTTCTGGTTATGTCCTTCGGGCTGACTAATGCCCCAGCCGCGTTCATGCATTTGATGAACAGCGTATTTCGGCCGTATCTGGATTCATTTGTTATTGTTTTTATTGATGATATACTAGAGTACTCGCGTAGCCAGGAGGAGCACGCACAGCATCTGAGAGTGGTATTACAGAGGTTGAGGGAGGAGAAGCTTTATGCAAAGTTCTCCAAATGTGAGTTCTGGCTTGGTTCTATGGCTTTCCTGGGGCACGTGGTGTCCACCGATGGTATTCAGGTAGATCCTAAGAAGATAGAGGCGGTTCAGAGTTGGCCTAGACCATCTTCAGCCACAGAGATTCGGAGTTTCCTCGGTTTGGCGGGTTATTATCGCCGGTTCGTCCAGGGTTTTTCATCTTGCTTCGCCCTTGACCAAGTTGACGCAGAGGTGCACCATTTGTATGGTCGGACGAGTGCGAGGAGAGCTTCCAGAAGCTCAAGACAGCTTTGACCACAGCTCCAGTGTTAGTTTTGCCATCAGCTTCAGGATCTTACACTGTATATTGTGATGCTTCGAGAGTCGGGATCGGATGTGTGTTGATGTAGGAGGGTAGAGTTATTGCATATGCCTCTCGTCAGTTGAAGCCCCATGAGAAGAACTACCATGTGCATGATTTAGAGTTGGCTGCTATAGTTCATGCTTTGAAGATTTGGAGGCACTACTTATATGGCGTATCTTGTGAGGTATTCACCGATCATCGCAGCCTTCAGCATATATTCAAGCAAAAGGATCTTAATTTGAGGCAGCGGAGGTGGCTAGAGTTACTCAAGGACTATGATATTACCATTTTGTATCACCCGGGGAAGGCCAATGTAGTGGCCGATGCTTTAAGCCGGAAGGCGGTCAGTATGGGTAGCTTGGCGTACATTCCAGTTGGGGAGAGGCCCTTTGCAGTCGATGTCCAGGCTTTGGCCAATCGGATGGTGAGGTTAGATATTTCGGAGCCTAGTCGGGTGTTGGCTTGTGTAGTTTCTCGGTCTTCCTTGTATGACCGCATCAGAGAGCGCCAGTATGATGATCCGCATTTGCTTGTCCTTAAGGACAGGGTTCAGCATGATGATGCCAGGGATGTGACTATTGATGATGATGGTATGTTGAGGATGCAGGGCCGGATTTGTGTGCCCAATGTGGATGGGTTTCGGGAGTTGATATTGGAGGAGGCCCACAGTTCGCGGTATTCCATTCATCCGGGTGCCGCGAAGATGTATCAGGATTTGAGGCAGCACTACTGGTGGAGGAGAATGAAGAAAGACATTGTGGGTTATGTAGCTCGGTGTCTCAACTGTCAGCTGGTGAAATATGAGCATCAGAGACCGGATGGTGTACTTCAGCGGATGGATATTCCAGAGTGGAAGCCGGAGAGGATTACTATGGATTTTGTGAGCGGTCTCCCTCGGACCTCGAGGAAGTTTGATTCGATTTAGGTGATTGTGGATCGGCTGACCAAGTCCGCGCACTTCATTCCAGTGTGTACTACCTATTCTTCGGAGCGGCTGGCAGGGATTTTCATCCGGGAGATTGTTCGGTTGCATGGGGTCCCAGTTTCTATTATCTCGGATAGAGGTACTTAGTTCACTTCCCAGTTTTGGAGGACTTTTCAGCGGGAGTTAGGTACACAGGTGGAGTTGAGCACAGCATTTCATCCTCAGACGGACGGGCAGTCCGAGCGCACTATTCAGATATTGGAGGACATGTTGCGTGCTTGTATTATTGATTTTGGAGGTTCTTGGGCTGAGTTCTTGCCACTTGCAGAGTTTGCTTACAACAACAGCTATCAATCCAGTATTCAGATGGCGCCGTATGAGGCCTTATATGGGAGACGGTGTAGATCTCCGATTGGTTGGTTTGAGCCCGGCGAGGCTAGACTATTGGGGACAGAGTTGGTCCAGGATGCCTTAGAGAAGGTGAAAGTGATCCAGGAGAGACTTCGTACAGCTCAGTCGCGTCAGAAGAGTTATGCGGACCGAAAGGTTCGAGATGTATCTTATATGGTGGGCGAGAAGATCTTGTTGAAAGTTTCGCCCATGAAGGGCGTTATGAGGTTTGGAAAGAAAGGAAAGCTGAGTCCGCGGTTCATTGGGCCTTTTGAGATACTTAGGAGGATTGGGGAGGTGGCTTATGAGCTTGCCTTGCCACCCAGCTTGTCGGGCGTGTGATTAGGTCGCAGCGGACTCAACCTTAGGAAGAGTGGGCGCTAATACTTTTACCCAATAGTGGTATCGGGGTCAATTTCCACAGGGAGCTAGAAAGGGAGTTGGATATTTGTTTAGCCTAGAATTGCGTGCTTGCTTCTAATTGATCTTCTATCATTTTTGGATTTTTGTGATTATCAACTACAATTTAACAACTACTGATTATAACTAAATTATGCGAAGAGATTTAATCTAAATTGTATGCAAGATAGAGAAAGGCACTAAGGTCGTGGCATTTACATAGGTGGTCAACTAACGTGTCGAGATTCCTAATACGAGAATGATGATTATGGGGCTTATGATATAACCATTGCACGATAGCACTCACTCTCACACCTCTCGGTAGAAAGAGTGATTTTGCCCAATTGACTCTCTCGAGACCAATTGGGTAGGCTAACAAACCAAGCAACTTAGGGTTCAAGTTGGGTAATCACTCTCTGGAGGTCTTACCCGTTAATTGGGACTACCATTCTCATGGGTCCATCCCAATTCCTTGTTGGGTTAACTTTGGAGTCATAGACACTCTTTCTCAAGAAGAGTCAAGACTCACTAAGCTAGACTTAGTGTTTGCAACCACCAAATCCTAGTTAAAACATAAAATCAACCCAAATATCAAACACCCAACATCATTCAAGCACTAAACAATCACACCCATTAATTACCCACACTAGGGTTGAGCCACAACCCTAGCTAATGGGTTTAGCTAGCCATAATAGCAACAGAAATTAAAGAAGAAGTAGATAAAATCAACATAATAATTAACTAGGAAGTTAATCTACACGAGTTCACGTTAAAACAAGGTTAAAATGCTCAAAATAGGCTAAAACTTGAATCTCACGAGTGCTGCTGCTCTCTGATGTCTAAAAATTAACCTAGAAATTATAAAATATTCTATTTATATTATGCCAGAAAAATCGGACAAAAATACCCCTGCGGGGCTGGCGCGGACCGCGCATAAATGCAGCGCGGCCGCGTAGGGGTCTTGGCCTTCTATCATTCACTTCTGGAACTGGGTACGCGGACCGCACAAAGAAGTAGTGCGGCCGCACAGGCTAATGAGCGCAGACCGCACAACATTGAAGCGCGACCGCGTAGACACCAGCGCTGACCGCGTAGAAATGAGCGCTGACCGCGCTTGGAGACTCCTGAAATGGGTGCTCTTTGGATCTCCTAGTGCGGCCGCGCAACAAATCAGTGCGGTCCGCGCTAGGTCCTCCTGTCCCTACTTCAATGATTTTTGATACTTGAGCAGGTTTCACTCCGTTTCGAGCTGGTTCTTGACTTTCGTCATCATGTCGCTCAAACCTGCAATCAAGCGCACTTTGTAAGCATTCTGAGTCTATTTCATGACAATTCATACATAAGGCATAGGCAAGTATGGGCATAAAACGTGTTAAAATCACAGTTATCAGCGTGCACTCGGTGTTTCATGTGTCTATGCTCCGGAAGTATATTGGGGACCCGTCCCATGTTTTGGACTTCAGTACTATTCAGTTGGATGATGATTTGACCTATGATGTGGAGCCAGTGGCTATTTTGAGTCGTCGGGTTCGGAAATTGAGATAAAAGGATATAGCTTCGGTGAAGGTGCAGTGGAGAGGTCGGCCCGTGGAGGAGGCTACCTGGGAGACCGAGCGGGAGATGCGGAGCAGATATCCTCACCTATTTGAGACTTCAGGTATGTTCCTTGACCCGCTCGAGGACGAGCGTTAGTTTTGGTTGGAGAGGATGTGACGACCCGGCCCGTCGTCACGTGAATTACTGCCCCGTTTCCCCTATTTTCTGCTTTCTTATACGTAATTATGCGAGTCTTGGGTGAATGAGTTGATTTGGATTGATTCCGGATGGAAATGAGACACTTAGTCTCTTTAAGGAAGGTTTGTTTTGGAAAAGTCAACCGGACATTGACTATTGAGTTAGAGGGCTCGGATGTGATTTCCGGTAATTTGGTTAGCTTCGGGGGATGATTTGTGACTTAGGATCATGATCGGAATTTGGAGGTCCGGTGTAGAATTAGGCTTGAATTGGCGAAGTTAGTATTTTGGCGAATTTCGGTTGATAGGTGAGATTTTGATCCGAGGGTCGGAATGGAATTCCGAGAGTTGCAGTAACTTCGTTAGGTGATTTTGGATGTGTGTGCAAAATTTCAGGTCATTCGGAGGTGTTCTGGTAGCTTTTTTGATCGAATGCGTATTTCGGAAGTTTTTAAGAAACTTAGGCTTGAATCCGATGTGATTTGATGGTTTTAGCGTAGTTGATGCGCTTTCATGATTGGAACAAGTTTGAACGAGGTTTTAGGATGTGTTGGTGCTTCTGGTTGAGGTCCCGAGGGCCTCGGGGTGATTTCGGGTTGCTATCGGAAGGAAATTTGAAGTTGGAATTTGCAGGTTTTTGGCTGCAGCAGGTATTTCCGCATCTGCGGAAAGGAAACCGCATATGCGGTTGCGCAGAAGCGGAGGCAGCCATCGCAGGTGCGAAAAGGATGAGGTCGAGCAATTTTCGCAGAAGCGGAAATTTATCCGCATAAGCGGGTCCGCATAAGCGGAAGGCTTACCGCAGAAGCGGTTTTGGACACTTTATTGAGGTTTCGCAGAAGCGGGGATTTGGCCGCAGAAGCGGGACCGCATAAGCGATAATCGGCCTGGGCAGAAGGGTTTTTATTGAATATTTCATCCACGAGTTTGGGATATTTTCCACCATTGTTAAGCGACATTGAGAGCTTTTGACAAGAATTAAAGAGAGTTTTGACTGGGAATCGATTGGAGGTAAGTCCCTTGGCTTAAATATACGAAATTTTGATAAATTTAACATGGAAATTGGTTGAAATTCATAAAAAGGGGGTAAAGCTAGGGCTTGAGAATTGGTAATTTAGAAATGGAATTTGGAGGGTCAAATGGACTC